ATATATAAACACAACCTTAAAGTGTTCCTGGTACAAGCTGCCTCACGCATTGGCCGTCATACGACATCCGCATTTGATTGGTTTCAGGCGCTCACACACCCCTGATTTCTCACGCTGAAGCCCGGTCGGTCAAATGCCTGAAAGATGAGTTTATCTTTCTACCTGTTGAGCTACTCATGTCGTGATCAGCTTGTATTACCGCAAATTAGTTAAAATCTCCCGGAATCTAGAGCGAGCGTGCATACGAGACAGAGGTTGCGCTCCAAACCGCGTATCGCGCGTTCACACACGGCTGCACGCACTCGGCAGAGAGGGAAAGCGAGCGAGAGACCACCTTGCGTGTACGGAGAGTCCATGTAATAAATGAATAAAAGCGTTTTATTTCATAGTGCCCACGCAATGGCATGGCAGCTTTAACAATGGCTTGAGCGGTTTGCCTCAAAACTATTGCTTTCTCGACAGAGAGCTCAGCTGGAGATCGAGCTCAAACATGGACTGCTCAAAAATCTGTAGTTAACGTTATGAAAGCATGAGAGCTATGGGACCGAGCGCGAGCAAAATCCAGTGAAAAGATGATAACGAGTGCACTGAGAGGACGCAAAATGAAACTAATGAAAACGTCTCCATTAGTTCTGTGCATGTAGTCATTTAATGCAATACTTTAAAAGCCTTTTTCAAAATATTTGCTACTTGCAAATGCTAATTTGTAGGCCATTGAATTTTTTTTTATAATAATATATTCATTAAAATTAAAAACAAACATGAACTAACATTAACAATGGACAAAATCCCCACTATCTGACCCCGAAGGCCGCTGTATAGGCTAATTCAAACCCAGACAAAGACCCATTGGGTGAAGCATTAAAATAATACTATAATGCATATAAAAAATTAAGAATCGAATCGAATTAATCGAATCGCATCGAATTTGGATGTGAATCGCATCGAATCGAATCGTTCTGAATTTGCACAAATCGTTCATGAATCGAATCGAAAACCTATGAATCGTGAATCAAATCGATTCGCTGTCTACCCAAAGATTCACAGCCCTAGTTTGGTGTGATGTTTATATGTTAGTGTAGATAAGTTAGTTTATATGTTTAAATCTAGCCACCTGCATAATAACGTCGATTTTGATGATGCAGACATTTTCAAGCAACTGCAAGTGTGTCTTTGTTGCAAAGCATTCATGTTTGCATTTGTGTAGAAGTATGTGTGAGGTCATAAACACTAAAACTGAATGCACAAAGAAAACCCAATTCCTAAATTTATCTGCAGTACAGCTCCATTAGCATATTCATATGCATATTCATGTTTTTTCATATTCATAGCCGTGTGCTTATTCTAATGGAGGTTAATGTAATCCAGAGAGGCACTTAAAAGCGTATCACATGACTGAGTCTGCTAGTCCTCTAGTCCTTCACACTCCACAATCTCAGTCTGCCGCTGATGTTATCTCAAATAATTGTATTGTTCTCGCTACGCTTATTATCACATTAATAATATTTGGCAAGTCTCTAAGGGCCATTCAGATACATTGTGTTTAATCTAATTCTGTGTTTGCCACAACAAAATCAGTCCTGGGGCAAATTATTCAATTATTAAATAAAGGCTAGTCTATGCATTAGGTGCATGAGAGGTTAGCACAATGAAGCTTCCATCTCGATTTTCATAGCAGTATGATTTCATTTCAGCTGCACATTTTACATCAGCTTCTTTCCATCAACATCATTTCATCTCTGAAGCTGATTTAACTTGATATGAGTTAATTATTTCGCTTTATAGTTTGCATTTATCTCTCTAGTGTTTAATAAAATCATGCTAAGACCAGAAAAATAAAACTCCAGCCCTCCAGAGCTAAAGACGAGGAGAGATAAAAAAGCAAACAATGACAGCCAAAGGGCGTTTTATTTTTTTGTTTGTTTGTTATTTGCTGAATTTTAACCTTTTAAAGGTGCAATGTGTAACAAAGTTGAGTATCTATTAACAGAAATGCAATATGACATCCATAACTATGTTTTCAGTGGTGTATAAAGAACTTACTTAATTAACCGTAATGTTTTTATTACCTTAGAATGAGACATTAATAGCTCCATAACCGCGGGAATCCCCTTCTATGAAGGTCGCCATGTTGTGACGTCATATTCCTACCGTAGCCGAACGCGAACAAACAGCGCTACAGAACGCGTTTCATCACTACCTTGAAAGAGAAGTAGCGGAAAGCTGGAAGCTAGCCTTACACTCCGTGAGTAGTGACTTTTCCCTTGTGAGTGGTGTAAAATATGTAGTTGGGATTGTTTCATGTAACTTAGTTCTCCCTCGCTGTGTTATGGGTTTGTTATGTTGGGGATAGATGTGCTGTTACGTTCGTGAGACAGCTGATGATTAGTATTCATGTCATTGACCGTAAAACAGTACGTTACAGGAATCACTAACCCGTCGATAGAGACTTTTACTAAAGTCTTTTATCACTAAAGTCGACGCGAAGATTTTTAAAAATCAGAGAAAAAAAGCCTATTGTGTGTAGTAAATAGTATCTATGGGATGCGGAGATGACATGATTGTAACAGCGCGCGCAGTTCCGACCTTTGGACTCATGCGGACGAGTCCCAGCTCAGCCACAGTAACAGCTCATATTAGCCAGCTAAACTATTACTACCCTGTTAGAAAAAATATATAGCTGCTCCCTCGCTGTATTATGGTTTGCTACAGTATGTGGGGAGAAATGTGCTGCTGGTTACGTTTGTGAGACAATCAGCTGATTAATATTATTTTATTAAATTATATATTAAAACCCTTGATCCTCACCTGACTATGGCTTTGTAAACAGTATCCATGATGTGGTTTATAATGGACTGTGGTACAGAAACAGTGACAATGTTACACACTCTTGTCTTACTCTGGCTATTCTCTGCTGTCTCAGCCGACGAGATGTTTGTCCCGTTTTAGCAACCGTAGCTTCTTCGAAAGGGAGGGGTGAGCAGTGGGCTGAGCCCTTAGTGCAAACCTGGTGCAAACTCGCAACCGAACCACTAGATGTCGCTAAAAGTCACACATTGCTCCTTTAAACTCAATTACCATGCAGACCACGCGTTTCTCCGATTATCCTCAGTCTAAACGTATAAATCTCAAAAATCATGAAGGAACAATTAGTACTATTATTCAGGACTATGAATTTCTTTCTAGAGATACAACGTATAAAAATGCATCCTTAAAGGTGAAGTGTGTAATTGCTAGGGTTGGGTATCGTTTGAATTTGAACGATTCTGATTCCGATTCCTTGTTTCGATTCCGGTTCCTAACGATTCTCGATTCCGATTCTTTTAAGAGGCAGGGTCAAAAAAGTTTAGCTAACCATGCTAACATATGGTCTTTCTGAAGGAAATAATCCTTTCTGAAGGAAATACTCCTTCTTTCACAAATATTCCTTTTGTCACAAATTTTGCATTTTGCCGAGATTTCGTTATTTTTAGAAAAGTGAAGCCACACTTTGGACCGCTGACGTAAGCTACTCATGTTCGACTCGCGCGGTTATACCAACACTTCCGGTAGACGCTTCTTCGTTGGTGTTGTTCAGCGGTTTCTTCTTCAGCTCGGCGGACTGTGAATATCGAAACTAGGAATCGAAATTTGAACTTTTGAACGATTCCGGGAAAAACAAAAAGTTAGTCCCGGTTCCAATCGATACTCGATTCTCGATACCCAACCCTAGTAATTGCTGTGCCGTCGATTGAAAATGCAGAACTAATGATTGTTCTCATCAGTGCTGTGCCATTTAGTTTTGGGTTCAAATACGTCTTATCCTGTCCGAGTCTCCGTAATCTATCCATTTAACTTACCCTTTTCTGTTGTGAGATTTTCTTGACTGCTTCATGCGGTATGGTGCATCCGATCATTCATTTTGACTCGTTGCCATCTTTCAGACACTTTGCCAGCTCAAAACTAATTTACTTACCATTAGAGAAAACAAGAAGGTAAAATGCATTGATTTACTAAGCAAGAGCATATATGCAAAATTAACTTCTTCAACCACAATTCTTGTCATCCTACGTTTACAGATTCATCTTATTCTGTTTAAATGCCAACGTTCAATGCTAACACAATCTTGTCTCAAATCAATTTAGCATTGCACTGAATCTAAACACATCTTTCCATCTGGTGGGAGGGCATATTAATGAAGGATTCCAGTTAAATTCAGAATAATTGAAATGTCTATGTGGACATATTTCACTGCTCTGAGCTCAGAGTCCTGAGTCAAGGGTAAGGTCAACGCACGGCATGATAACTTTAACTGCATACTGATGACTCGTGTGACTGTGTTCACATACCACATGAAGCAGATTTCTTCTTCCTCCAGTCTTTAATAACTTTAATAAGCCATTCGTGGGTTCATTTCCCTGGAAAGTGTAAACACTGGAAAACAGGCAATTATTCAGGTAAGTTGAGATCTTATAACCAAAGAGAAATGGCAAGTAAATAAGTTTTAAACTGAGAAGTTATGGCAAGCGAGTGAATTTGGCAGGTAAACAACAGTCTATTTGAATGAATGAGAGTTACAGAGTCCTTGAAGAGGGCAAGTGAAGACCACAAACCAGAGACTTTGTCAGGAATGTCCAATCCTGCTCCTGTAGAGTTCAGCTCCATCCCCAATCAAACGCACCTAAACCAGCTAATAAAAGAATAGGACAGGACAGTGGCCCTCCAAGAGCAGGTTTAGACACCCCTGCTTTTGAAAAGAGTGATGTTTTTTTCTTCTCTTTTTCCAAAATTTTTTTTTTAGCAGCTTGTTTTTCATAATTAGAAAATTGCTAGATGTGTTTGTGGACAACAGAAGTCTTGGTAAAGTTTGAGGAGAAATATCCTCTGCAAATTTCACTAATTAGAAACCACTTGTCCCCAGATGATTGAGCAAGCGAAAGAAAAGGCAAGTGTTTCTTTATGTGAAAGATTCTTTGAAACCCTGGTGAGAAATCAAAGGTTGACCTTCTCTGTCTGCTCAGTGCCGTTGCTGTGGAAGTCCTGTGGCGAGTGGAACTCAATGCTCCGTAGTGGGAATCAATATGACGAAAAGGTGGGATAACTTTAGTTCCTCCTCAGTGGATGTCTGTGCCTGTTCCTCTTCAGAATAGCAGTCTTTTATTTATATTTTTCTAATGTCACTGGGTGATATAGTAGATCTAATTAACATTCTCAGATATGATACTTTTTATTATCAACTTTGTCTTTGATGTTTCTCCCAAAATGTCTGTAAAATTGTTCACACAATGTATCAATTTGAATATGCTAATTTAATAATATTAATGTTGTGTATGCAGTTGTGCACATTTTATTTGCCATAATTGTTATATATAATGTTTTCTCTCTCTATATATAAGCAGTGCCCATTGGAAAAACTCATCTCAGTCAGCCATTAGCTCAGTTTATTCTGTGTAATTTTGGTGTATCTGTGCCCATCTGCTTACCACATTTCAGCTTACCCATATCCTATCTGGCCAGTGATTTCCCTGAGAAGAGATATGATTTCATTACCCTCCATTTACTTCTAGAATGGCCTTCGTTTTGAGACGTGATGACATCTTATCCTTGGAGGTAATGCTTCCTCTGGGGCTCTTGATGTACTTTATTTTCTTTTAAATTACTTGGAGAAGTCATTGTGACCCCAAAGAAGAGATTTTTTTACCTTTCCCCAATTATCCCCCATTTATGAAGCAAATGAATGTATCCTTGTGTTTGAAATAACTTGTTCAAAGTTATAGTCTAAGAATGCATGAAATTGAACAACATGGATATCATTACATTAGTTTCAGTGTTTAAGAACAGGTCCCATGTTAACGGCTCCTCATATACCACATTTAATAAATATAAATGGGGAGTATTCATATAAATTCAATTCAAATCTTTCGTTTTCGTCAGATTTGGTTGTTTTTGGCAATTTGGTTGAATGTCAGTAAGAGCAAATTGTACTTCTCTCATAGAATTTTTAATCATTGTCCGCCCACCCTAACAAGCAAGGTTTCTCTTTGAGTAATTGAAAAATGTTCTGATGATTAAAGTAATATTCTGTTAAGGACCCTTTTCATTTTTTTTGTTGCGCTTTTGAAATTACATTTATTGATTACTCACTAATGGCTAAGAATACACATAGGGTTTTACCATTAGTTCATTATTGAACTCGGATGTTTACAAATATTCATTTTAATACAGTAATCTCTAGTGCTGAAATGGTTTCAGTCTTCTTTTCTCCCTTACGAGGGTTTGGAGCCATCACTGTAGCTTCATTTTCCATGCAGGTGTGCAGTGGGATTCAGAGATGTCATTCAAATGTAGTGTCCCTACTCAAGATCTGTGTACACTGTAAAAAATATTGTTGGTTTAACTTAAAAAAAAAAAAAAGTAACCTGGTTGCCTTAAAATTTTAAGTTCATTGAAATTGAAAAAATGAGTTATTAGAATGAAAGAGATTAATTTAATCACCAGAAACTCAAAATATTATGTTATCTGAACTACATAAATTATATAAGTTGATTTGACAAAAGAAAAAATGTTCTGGTTACAAATCATGAAAATATTTTTTTACAGTGAAGACTGCTTTTCATTTATTCATTCAGGTACTTCTCTAAAAGCATATTTTTTCCAGCACAAATAAAGTTAATATATTAATATATACTGCTAAATTTACACCATTTTTACAGAGCGGAAGACTTGTGTAGTGCAGATACATTATGTGATTGGCACAAGTTAGATATTAGATTTTTTTTTCCATCCGAATTGTGTTTAATTTATGAGAAAATTGCAATATTGCAAAAACAGTGAGCGAATGAGGCATTATTTCTAGCCCACGTCCTTGAGAGATCAACTTGCATGGAAATTGGCACTAATTTGCATTTCAGAAGTGAATGGAGAGTAACGTTTTATTTCCATCTTTGAGCAAATTATTCAGTCACATGACTTGAGACGAAGTCACTTGACTTTTTTTTGACGTGTAGCCTACAGGAGAACAGGAGTTTGATGGCGAAACACTTCCTTCCACTTCCAAATGACTTCGTACATTGATGATGCATTTATCATTCCTATTTTGCACGCGCGCAAAGCGGACTTTTCCCTTTTTAAACAATGAATAATCATTTAAGCTGATAAATGTTTTTTATTTAATGTTATCCGTGTCATATTTCAGCAACAACAATGTGAACTTTTATATAACTTTTAAATGCATTGTTATGTATTATGAGGAGAGTCTCCGCATGAAAGACCCGCGACTGGCATCTCTCCAATGCGGTAGGAAATTAAATTAAATATAATGTGGATGATTTTAACTGTGACAAGATGATTGACATGCCAGTTTATGGTGACAGGGATGCGTGTAACTACAGTAGCGACAAAGAGCAACCGTTAAAGACACAATTTTATGACGTGATATGTCCCAAAGCTTGTCTACTCTTCTACCACACACTTTTTCTTTACAAAAAGTGAACATACTTTTAAGGCGTATTATCAGGGAAACTCTGTTTGGTAACCAGTGGTAGATTAGGAAAGGCATTTGGGAGAAAGCTGTTATTTTAGTAATTTTATTTGGCTACATGCTGCATTAACCTCATGTCGTAATTACCGTGATTTTGTCATGTGACCAACACATGACATTCAGTTCTGTTCACGTCCTCAGACTGGGAATTGTGCGTTTTTATAGCAACACTATCAACGCCTAAGCTAATTTGCTGTGGTTAGTTGGTACCAGTAGTACATCTCAGAAAATTCCCAGCTTATAAATGTTGTAAATACGAGCTCTATAAAGTTGAAATCTCTCAGTTACGGTAATTATGGCGTGGCGTGAATGCAGCTATAGACATAACATGTTTCGCAAGGACTTTGCCAGCAAACAGCCAATGCGAGTGGTTTTGTGATTGCCTGAGTATGTTGTAGGCAGGCCTCAAGTCTTACTCTCCTGTAAGAATCATGTTTACATCGTCATTCGTTCACTTCTTAGTGGGAGGCAAATCAGTCGAGCTGAATTCACAGATAAAGCGACACTGCCATATAAACAGTTACATGAAAAGGGTCCATAAATCATGCATGACATTTCAATCTTTCCTCCCTTGTCACTTCAGCGGGTGACATTTCTGATGTGATGGAAAAACACTGACATGTACCGTGTGGTTAAAGGGATTAGCTTCGTCTCTGATTTAGACTCTCACACTCTCTTTCTCTCTCCATTTACCACTGTGGATGAACTTAAAACTAAAACACCCTTCAGCCTTCACCATCAATCTGTTGATGGATGGCAGATTGTGTGCCGCAATATGAGGCAGTTCAATTAAACTAAAGCGTCTCAGACTGACTATTTTTGGATATAGTCTGTTTAAAGATTTAATGAACCGAGGCCAAAAAATTATCATATTTTCCCCCATGGTCATTACGCCTCAAGGTAATCTGACTGTCAAGTATCTACCAATTTATCTTTTTAAAAGCAACACGACATATTTGTCATATTGGTCTGATTCTAAAACCAAACCTAAATTATATTTTAAATGAATTAGAAGATGCAGTAGTCAGCATACCGTAACCCCACATTTTAGAATGAATGAACTAAAACTTGCCAAGTTTCTTGGCTTACTTGCTAAGTTTTGACCATTCTGACATATGCTGCAGATCATGGCCAAGCACTTTGGTTAAAAAGCATAATATGCTCATCCTACTTTTTAAAGTAAGAGTATAGAGTTAGAAAAGTTAAAACTGCAATACCTAAGATTTAGATGCCGCTAGAGGGCGCTACATTCAAAACAACAACAACAACGGCTTTGCTTGATGACGACGTGGAGGAACGCGGAATGATGGGAACTGTTGTTTTCAACTCCACCGTGGATAAATCAGTCAGACGGGAATCGAAAATTAGTTGTCATGGATGAGGTAAAGTTCGATTTCTATAAACGTTGCGTTTAATGACATGCTTGTTTTTCATTAAACTGAAATAACCGCAAGAAAAGTCAGGTTTAAAAGTAAATTAGTTACTGTACGAGTCACTGGACGAAGCTATGGTGGAGAGGGTTTGAAGGGGCAGGTCTCTTGCAAGGAGTTGACGTGGCTGGTCCTCCTTGGTAACTTTATAAAAATAAAAAATCTATTTAATGTACATTTGACACATCTTTTCATGTCGTGTAAGTATTCAACCACAGCTACAGTTTCACAAAATTAACGTTAAGGGGGTCGCACACCGGACGAGAAGCTGCCGCGTCGCGCCACATCTTTAAAATTCGAAAACATTATTATCTATAAGTGTAACGTTACACATACCGGTGTTCTGTCGATTTTTGCTGCCTTGTCGAAAAATGCTACCGTAGCGCGAATTGATCACAGAATGCCGATTAAAGTCTTATGAAATACAATTCTAATACAATTCTAAGTTATGAGTAGCTACTGTATACTGTAGTCTACTGTTTTTATTTTTAAAACGGTGTGAAAAGTAAAAATTATCATAAAATATTCATCTTTGACTTGTCAAAGTACACCTTTTCTTATAGTAACTGAAACTTTCAGTTATTCCTTTTCAGCTGGCTGACCGTACAAATATTCATATGGTAGTAAGCATTTTTTTAAAGGGGAATTATACATTATAACAGGAAAATGTACCTTTTGTAAAAAAAAAAAAAAAAAAAACTGTGAGTCTGCACATGCGCATAACCGGTAAGTAGGAAATCTCGATGGGTAGCATGAATTGTCAGAACACCGGCGGCGCCATTCTGCGTCTGTCCGCGGCACCCAGCAACAACGCCTCAGGACCGTGTTCAAAATCCTGCTGTGCCACAGAGCGCCATTTACATAGTTTTATATAAAATTTTAATTATTTTTGTCTCAAATCGTTGCTAATGGATCCTGACTTCGCCCTATGCTTCAATATGCATTTAGTTTTGCAGTAATTTACAGAAATCAGCTGCTTGAATGACAATTGCTGATGTTATCATTAGAATTTTCAGGTGAGATTCTCAATTCATTCAGTGAACGGATGCTCTGAGGTAAAGTTTTCAGAATGCAAACTCAGCAACGATTGTATTTAATTGTACAGTACAATCATAACATAGAACAGACATTATCTTCATTTCATGTCATTAAACATAACAATATTGCTGGCCATACACTGATGAGAAAGTGCGCGTCCGGTGTTCGATAACGTTACTGTGGAGTTGTCCTAAAGGTGGCGTGACGCTTCTCGTCCGGTGTGTGACCCCCTTTACAGCCAACAGTTCACATTCCGAGAATAAATGAAAAGAATAATTGTGCTCCATTCCATAACAAATGCGCGAAACAAGCTGACGTTTGTTGCTTGATAGACGCTAACGCACAACTACAACTACCGCATTTGTCCAGGACTACACGTAGTACGAGCGGAAACCGAGGTAAGCGGATATGACGCGATTGACTGGCGACTCCCAGCTCACCCCTGCTCATACGCCCCGTTTCCTTGGTTAAAATCTCAATTTTCTCGCGATTTAAACATTGTTTGAAACATTTGGAATATTGTGAGTTATCATCATAACTAAATATATAACACTAGCCTTGTGATTTTGGGATATTTGAATGCAAAAATCTTAGGTATTCCA